GCAGGGAAAAGGCGGTGAGGGACGGAAAGCAGAACGGCTGCGTAAGAGGGCAAAAAAATTGCATAGGAATGGCCTGGGCACATCCAGGTTTCTAAAAGTCGAAGCCCAAAGCAGCGCTTTGGGTATGCGTTAGCGGAGGAGGGCCGTGCACCCCGGTGCTCTCCCCGGGGCAAGGCCGTGAATGTGCTCCCTGAGAAGCCACGAACGGTCCCGTGAAGTGGAGCGAGAACTCCCGTGAAACAGGAGATCCTTGGAGGCAGGCTCAAGGAGCCTCCCAGGAATCACTAAAAAAAAAAATAAAATATGGAAATATGTAGTCCCTAAAAAAAAAAAAAGGAAATATGTAGTCCCAAGACAGGGCTGTTTACATTCCACGGTGAACTGCAGCTATGGAAGCGTTGATGGAGAGAGGGTTGTGAGAGCCCAGAGAGAGGCACGTTTTGTGCAAAGGAATTGCTCAGGTTTTGCAAATACATAGCTCAATTTTGAAAAATTATACAAAATGGAAATAGAAGATGTAATAAACTTTTAATTAGATCATTCATAAGCTATCCTTCAGTATATAAAAATTCTTCTCATATACAAAATAATATACGCATCTAAGTAGAAAATATGTGAAATACTAGCATCCATATGCTACATCACGCAAACTGATCATTCACTCCAGTATCGTGAAAAGATGCAAAATACTCCATGGTTAAGTGCAAAAAAAAGCCCTGTGCTAAGTTACATCATCACCCCAGTAAAGAATTCCTTTGCAACGCCTGTCAGGTACTGGTTTCTGTGTGTTCTCTCGCCTGGGCAGGTCATTGCATCTGCTCGCACAGGCTGTTTAAAAACCAAGGTAGTCGTGGTTACGGTCATCCTGCATAACTGCCCCCTCTAACACACGAGGGATTCCAATAACCCGCTATAAGGACAACAGAACCACAACCAAGAACATTAATTTTCTGCAAATTCTCTCCTCCTGTCTCTCTAGACAGAGAGCCTTCCATGATTCTCCCCGTTTAAGGATAATCAAGGAGTTTTCATCAATGAATGAGAACACTTTGGGGCAGAAGTGATAATACAGAGAATTGGTCTGTTTATCTCCACTGCTGAGCGTGAGTCATTCCTCCACTGCAGCTTTCTCCACCGGTTTTTGTGCTTGCGTTATAAAGCAGTGACTGATTTTCATTATCGACAGGGAAGCACAGAAAGATACACAATTTGCCTCCCTCTGAAGTGACTCAAAGAAAAGAGACTAGGAAAAAAAAAAATATACTTAAATATTAGACAAGACATGAAATACAGTAATTCAAATGATTCCCTGCACCCTCCTTTCAACACACAGTTTTCACATATATGTATTTGGGCTTGCTGCACAACAGCAAGTGTTTTATGCATAAGACATAATTATAAAAGCCAATTAGCATCTCTTCAGTTTGAATTAAGGTTTTCAGTAAACCTTTTTTTAGCTTGTACGCTATGCAGAGACCTTACGTTTCACCACATAAATTGGTTACACAGATGAGATTATCATTAAAATTATGAGCTTTTAAGCTACAATTAGAGAAAATGTGTGATCTTACCTTGGCTTTAATAAACCGTAAATCTCTTATTCCCTTATAGAAAACATTTCCCAGTCTGCACTAAAGATACTTTAGAAGAAATTCTCTAAAAAATAAGTGGTATAAATGCTTTTCGATGCTTTGGGTAGGAGCTAAAATTTTTCTGGTAGAACTCGTGACACAAAACGGCAGCCAGTGCCTGGTTAACAAGAACATACATCACTACACACCACCACGTCACGTTGTGAAATCCAAGTGTGACGGCCATAGATACATATATGAGGAGCTCTGCAAAATAATGAGGGCAAGAAACTCTCTCAAACCAGTCTCCGAAAGGTACACTGTGGCTCAGACTTATGACCTTTCCTGCAAGCAAACAGAAAGAAATCAGTTGAGAACAACATGCATTAAACAAACTTTTCGATTCTACTCACAATTACAGAACAATGTGCTCGTTACAGTTATCATCATCATCCACCTCCATCTGATCTGGCAGCTTTGCACTTCTAAATGAAATAAGGTGCCACCTCTGGCTGTTTGCACAAATACAGAGTAAGGAAACCTATTTTTAGCCCACATGGAGACAAAAGTGAGGTCCCCGAGGGGTGGCACAAGTCCTAAGAATTAGCATGTGTCTGTCCTTAGGATATTAGAAGCTAGACCTTCATTTTAAGTTCTCTAAAACTATACATGAAGACACAGATACTCCCCCACCCTATTCAGCCATCGGATCTCTTTTCCAAACGGCCTCATTGTCTTTTAGAGAGCACCACACTACAGGAACTGAAAAATAGTTATGTTCTAAGGTATTAGAAGATACAGAAGCCTATTGAAACAACCAGGAAAAAATTACCTATGGAAATCATTGGCAAAAATGAAACATCTTACCTGATTTACTTTTTCTAAGATTAGCTAGAATCACAAGGCATCTGTGTTGGTGAAGAGAGGCCCAAATGTACATCATAACTCCTACGATGTGATACCAGCAGATCTGCACAGAAAGCTCTTCTCCGGAATGAAATATGTTTCATTAATATATGGCCAGGAAATACCTTCCCAAGCATCATCCCAAAACATTGTATACATTTTTAAAATGTTACTGTCTTACAAAATTCCAGTAGTCAGCCTCCTATCCCTTGAAAGATGCTTTTAAATCTTGCATCAATTAAGTGTTCAGCTGGTAGTTCATTTCCCTTAATTGCTCTATACTAAAAATAACTAGTTTTTAATCCAGTATCTTGATGTACAACTGATACATAATTGGTAGTCTAAGACCTCAATATTCAATGCTGTTTGTAATTCTTATCATCCTAATTAAATATGTTGTCATGGCTCAGGTCAACATACCAGTACACAGTTGTTTGTCTTATTCACAGTGAGTGAGATACATACATACACCTACATACACACACACACACACACAGTGTGAAACATTTAGGCCTTCAAAAAAACGTTAACTGTATTAAGGATGATTTCCAGTGTACAAGCCCCAATACACCATCTCTAAGAATCTACAAGATGTGAAAAGTAGAAGACAGGTCCAGAAAGAAAAAGGCTTTATCTACACATAGAAGATCTGAAGGTTCTTTTAAAAAAAATCACTGGATTAAACTAGAGCTGATGCGGTTGGAAGTGGTTAAAAACTTCACTAAAGTTACATACTTGGTAATGACCACCTTATAAAAATTAGGCACAGGAGAAGTGCGACAACCAGCTCCTGGTTCATCTGTGCAGGGGAATAGCAGCTCACTTGTGAGACTCAGTGGAATATGTTGGCAGAAACAAGTCATGTAATTCAAACTTCTGCTGTATTAATGGAGACATTATAGCACTAAGTCAAAGAAGAGACTGACTGATGCGAGGCAGAGCAGTGGCGAGTTCTCAACAGAAGACAAAGGAGGTGGCCAAGACAGCCTTGCAGACTCACCTTACAAGAAAGCTTACAACAAAAAAAACAAACTCCAGTTTGACAACTGAAGTTACACAGTGGCATTTGAGAACTGGTACCTATTACTGTCCTTCATAAAGGACAGTATCTCAATGATCTGATCGGTAATGATCCTGAAAGTATCTGTGTGAGATGTCTTTCAGGAAATAACAGTGACGGTTTACATACAAGTGTGTGTCAGTGTCTGTGTGTCTGTGTTTGTGTATAACGCTGGCTGATTATGCAATATAGTGAAATGTAGTTGCTTTGAACTATGCCAGTATGTATTTTTACGTCTCATCAGTAAACACATTTCTCACACAAGCAGCCCTGTACGAAACCATTTGCCACGATGGAAAAAAATGGGAGCAAAACTGCATCTTAGATAATGACTAAGCAGGGACTTACCATTCCTGATGTTAGCAGGCACTTGACATAACACAGTTGAGCCAACAGCGATGTAGTAACCAAGTCCAAAGCAATACTGCACGATGTGAATGACACCATTGGAAAACACGCTGGTCCAGAGGCATTCTGCAAGTCTTCGACAGCTATGCAGCCAAAGCAGCAGGAGAACCAGGAGCACAGAGAAGTGCTCACTATCTGCTTGCAAATAAAAAATAGCAACTTTGAGACAGATAGGAACAATTTAACCCCAACAGTGCTTCAAAAAGGCTATTTTTTCCCCTCCCTGCAGCAAAATTTTACCCTCATTTTAAATTAACTGAGCACTGGGGAAAATATTTGTACATGTGAGGCACTGCTGACCACAGCAAGATTACTTCTAGAAGGTGCTGATGGCTCTGTCTGCTAAAAGGACTGCTGAAAGCCATCATAGCCATAAATTAGAATGATTTCTACCTTGAATAATGAGAAAGGGACTTGGTATTCCAGGAAAGTAATTTGAAACTTAGTTTAAAAGCAGCTAATGAAGTAGCACTTGAAGAATACAAATTCAGCACAGGATGGTAGTGCAGCTTTCTAATATTTACACGGCTGCATGATAACAGCTGGAATACTTGCCTATGTCCTCACTCTGAGAATGTCTGCCAAGAGCATGGTGCACGTGCTGAATCCATGATGGGAGAGACCCTCCGAGGAACTCAGCTCGGAAAAGCCAGATCAGGAGAAAGCCGTTCCAGAGCACAGAAACCACATAAAAGTGAGTAAACCACCTGTAGGAACAAAAATGGTCTTCATTAATGTTCTCATAATTCCTTAGCTGGAAATGAAACTGCAGGGTGTACTTGCCTGATGGTACATTCCCTTTTAGTCCCCAAATCAGTAAGTACAGAACTTGGGACTCCAGTGGTACCAAGCAGGAATAACCCTAATGTCTTCTTCCCCCAGTGAAATGCTGCCTGGAATAACCTCTAACTTAGCTTACCTTACTAACCATAGCTGCACTAAAGAGGAGAAAGTGTAAACCACACATTGCAAAGGTATTCCTCAATGCTTAGAACTAATTATGATGTGCACAACTTTTTCTTTGTAGTTTACACCACTGAAAGCACATCCAAATGATTTTTTGGGGCATTTCCAGGCTGTTGTGCCTAGCAGCACTCCCACTTTCCGCAGTTCTAGTGGATGCATTTCATGTTGTGTTAAAGTTCTTAAATGACAAATGCAGATGGTAAAAGGCACCCAGAAGTAATTACTCAGCTGTACACTAAAAATTCTTGTCCCTCTGCAAATTCAAGGTCTGCAACAATCACACAGCAATAAAGGAGAGACCACCAGTACCACCGGGTGATGACAAGGCAAGGCAACATGTTTTTTTGAAGAAAACAAAGAATCCCCCAACCCCATAATGCACTTATAAAAGCACACTATGCATTACTGAAACGAAAGACATCACAGTCAAGACAGGTAACTGGATGGGGTTAAACAGCCTACGATATCCAGTTCAAACTAGGAGATCCAGTATTTCCTTTTGCTTTTAAAACAAAAAGGCCTTCTGGCTATGAATGAAAATCAGGACTTCTGAAAACACCTGCAAAGAGACAAAATATGTACCATGGGAAGATGCTGATGGCCTTGTCTTGACAATGCAACTATTGGTACAAAACTAGGATATAACTGTATAGTCAGAGAAGACTGTATTTCTCTGGAACATGCAAACTTTTCTTTTTGGGGAGTGTAGGGGTACAACACCCTTGCTTAGAGAAACCAAATAAAGTAACTGCCTCCCAAAGCGGCATGAGTATCTCTCAACAGCAATACAGAGGTCAAGTCAGAACCACAGAGGTAACAAGCATCCCTGCATGCTCCAGAGCGCCTTGCCCATTAGGCATTGGTAGCCCCTTCAGACAATGACTTCTCCTCAGTTCCTTCTCCTACCAAGCAGACAGCAACATTCACTCTGCTGATTTGCAACAGCAGAAGTAAAATTTAGCCCCTCTCCCTCATTTTCTGCTTAGAAGACAAATAGAACTTGTATATCGATAAAAACTCATTGCCACCTGCAAGTTTCCCTGCTGTCCTGTTACTCAGTAGACTTCTGTCTCATCACTCACCAGAGAGCTTTCTCCACACGCATTGCTTTTTGCTACCAGCACACAACAAGCCCTACCAGCTTAGCAGAGACATGCCCTGTGAGCTTTCAGCAATCCCAACTACGCTGGGGATGTATCTGACCTACAGAGCGATCCAGCACTGCAGTAAGTACATGTCTCCTCATCCCTCAAAGAGAGGAATGTTCACTATTTGCCAAAGCAACCCAAAAATGAATCATAACATTTGCCAAGATGGAATGGCATTGTTAAAAACAAGCCCAGGCTAGTGAAAATAAAATGCTTGTTTGGAAACAAGATGCAGATGAATGGAAACAGAAGATGCTTCAATGGCTACCTTCAGGATCTTCGCTACTTTCAGCTAGCATGGTTACGGGTTCACAACTCAAGTAAGAGAATTGTTTTGTAGATATTGAGAGCTTGAGACCAATTCCCTGAAAAAGCCACATTCTTCAGACACCATCTTCCCTAAGAAGGGATGGTGGGAAACTTCTGTTGGAGAACGGTCAACTCAAACAAGAACCTACTTAAGAACATGGCACTTTGCCTTACTCTGCAATTAAGACAAAGCCTTATGAGTCCTTATTTTTGCTGAGGGTACTGCAGAGCTTAAACACATCTCTGGGTATTTTCTGTAACCAGAAGCCTGATAACCAAGATACTACATTACAACCTTCCCATGAATAACATGCTGTGTCACAAAACTTTTTTTAACATTTGGTTTGAAAGCTATGTATATAAAATGCATCAGTGATAACAAGATAGTTACATTAGGGGTGATCAGATCTTTGGGTTAAGTAGCCTCCCAGTCTTGTCCTGCTGGTCTTGCAAAATCCTGTTGCGTCTATGTTCAAGTCAAAAGCTAATTCTAGTCATGAATCTCAGCTGATCAAAAATTATGAAATCCCAGTAACGTCTAAAAAGCGGTAAATGGGTCGTCCCCCCCCTTCCCTCTTTTTTCGTCCTATTAAACATCTCTTAAGAGATGTGTTTGGATAATGCAGTGGGTTTTTTTGCCTTATTAGAGACTGTTCATACAGGCTCCAGATCATTATGTTAACATACTACAATTAGTATCCTAAGTCACCTTCTAAAAAGAAACCTTGAAGGAAGAAGACGACGACTGAGAATTGGTTTAAGAGAGTAAACCTGCAGTATATTTGCATAGTCGCAGTTAGACTCCGGAATCCGTACTCCCAGGTGCCTGACTGGACTTTTGCAGGAAGGTTGGTTTTGCAGGTGCTGCATAGGACTGGGATTCAAGGGATTTGGGTTTTATCCCAATTTGGAACATACGGCCTCTGTATCATCAGTCTCTACGCTCCTCGGTTCCCCATCTGTAAAAACAGAACACCACTTCTACAAAAAAATTTAGCCCAACTCTATAAAAGTACACAATGCTATTTTCATATGCTGTTTATTTTCTACATCTTCAGTTGAATTAATTGAAACGCATATACGGTTATCCTACGCTACCGTGGCATAAGGCATGCTGCGTTCCGG